AGGAGTTATATTTATAATTTATCCTAAATTTTGTATATCTCTATTTCTACATATTTTTAATTGCCAAATAAATATAAAACTAAAAATAAAATTAAATAATAAGAACCACTTTTAGTTTTATATTACTAATTATATTTCTAATTTAACTATTATTTTTAATATCAAAATAAATATTTATTTTACTATCTCATAATTTAATATATACCATATAAAATCAGTACATGATAATTATATTTTTATAGCATAATAGAACTAAAATTATCAAAATAAACAAATAATTTAACTAAATTTATTAGATATAAGTATCTAAGTAACATTTTATAGAACACAGGTTAAAATTATTAAAATAAATAATTTAAATTTAAATTTTATTTTAAATTAAAATTAATATTATTCTTTTGTAACACATATCATATTATAAAATATCACTATATTAACTAAACTTAACTCCATTGTGATTTTATGTTAGATATCATATTTCTAAAAATAATTTATATATATGTGTAACGTCCAATTTGATATTGATTAATTAAAATAATAGAACTCAATACTTTTTTTTGTTAAGTTTAGAAGATAAATTGACAAGTGTCAGATGATAAATAGTGCGAAACATTATTTTTAAGAAAAATGATTCATTGAAAATGATTGTTTATATTTAAGACACCTATTGATGTTTCTTGAATAATTTTTAAATAAAAATTTTGAATTTATAGTATTACTAATAATACACATTCATAAGACTGTCAGAAAGATATGTAAAAAGACAAATAGCGTGTGTCATATACACCTTATAAGTAAATGGCACAATTCCATATTTTCTAAGCCATAAAAATAAAAATAAACAAATAAACAAACAAACAAACAAATGTAAGTCATAACCAAATATCTTGAAATAATATTATAATTAAAGAATAAAATTAATTATAATTAAAAAAATGCAATTAAAGATGTATATGATATGAGTGGCTGTATAATAAAATTATCCTCAGTTGTAAATTTTTTTTTTTAAAAGAAGATGTTGCAATTGGTGAATATGACAGTTATGAAACCAACCTATTATGTAAAATTTTTGGGAAGTTGCTATTTTAATGGGTTATTTTAATTTTTAGCTATTTTAGGTATCGTTTGGGAAGAAGGTTTTCATGTTTTTTTGGCTATTTTAGTCACAAAAAACAAAATAGGCTATTTTCGTCACAACAAACAAAACATCACATCCAACCCATAATCATTACACTATTCTCTCACAAAAAAAGTCAAAAAAACTAAAAAGTCAAAAAGTCTTTTCCAAACCAAGCTTTTTAGCCCAGGCTGGGGTCACTGTTGTGCCTCATTTTGTGGTGAATTATGGATTTATTTTTATAATCTGAACCGTTCATGTTATAAGGTTTGTTGAGTACTTCATACCTACCAAAAATCATATTAATCGAATACCAATAACTATATGATTGATAATCAAAAAAATAAACAAGAAGTTTTTCTTTTGAAAAATAGTATAAAAATATGCAATTCGATCATATAGTTATTGATATCCGATTAATATATATATGATTTTCAAAATGATGCACAACAGTCACTGCTGTGCCTTTGGCAACAGTGACCCCAAGTCCGGCTAAAATAGCAAAAAAAGTCAAAATATTAAAAAGTCAACCCACTTCCCAAACGGAGGCTTAGTATGTCAAAATTTTTGTGTTTGAAAAGATGATTAAATTTTTTTTAGTTAGATTTAATGTTTGTAAAAAAAAAAATTACGAATTTAATGTGACATTTTATTTTATTAATTATTTTAACTTACTCTTTTTTTTTTTTTTTTTTGTGAAATGAGTAAAAATCCCACTTCCCAATTGAGTTAAAATCCCACTTCCCAAAGAGGCCCATTGATGCCGGTGCTTATAAATGCTAAAAAATGGATCTAAGACAATCTCCAACGGTTCACCAAACTTGACATCAAATTTAAATTTTGGTGAAAAAGTCACTGTTTGGTACTCCAACGATTGCACCAAATCGGTATCAAATTGAGAATTCATCAAAAAATTCATCAAAGTGAGAAAAAGCTGCAGATTTTACCAAATTACTGTTCCTGACCGTTGGAAGAGCTGAACCGGTCAACCAGCCGGTTGCCCGGCCGGTTGACCAACCGGTCGACCACTAAAAGGTTCAAACAGTTCAAATGGGTTGGTTCAAACAATTCAAAATATATATATATTTTTGCCTTACCGGTCAACCAGTCGGTCGACCGGCCGGTCGACCACTAAAAGGTTCAAACAGTTCAAATAGGTAGATTCAAACAATTCAAAAAAAAAAAAAAAATTTTTTGCCGTATCGGTCGACCGGCCGGTCGACCAATCGGTTGCCCCTGGAACAGATTTGATGAAAATTAACCATTGGAGCATTCTATATTAGATTGAGAAAATGGTCATTTTTTTACTCAGATTTGATGAAAAATTAGGTGAACCGTTGGAGATGCTCTAAACAGGGGCAGGACAAAAAGACAGAGAAAACACTTTCTATTTTTAGATATGGACTTGTTAGAGTAGGCTAGTCGTTAGGGCTAAGTAAGGAATCCGTGAAATTCGTAATTCGATCCAGTCTAGTCTAATTCAATAGGTTTGGATTGATTTTTTGAACCCGTGATTCAGTTCCGGATTGAAAAATTAAAAACCTGTAGTTCACGGATTGGTTCCAGATTAAATCCCACGGTTCCGGAATGGAACCGATCCGGACCGTATAAAAATAGTTTATATTTTTATTATGCACCCTCCTACATAGTATCTTCTCTTATTTCATATAAAACTTAAATCCAAACCTAAACTCGCATAATATATTTTTTTATTACTTTTGTTTGCTAGTTTTTAGTGTTTATTTGTAATGGTCTAAATACTTATGGTGAAACTAGTTTTTCTTATGATTGTATAAATTTTACAATAGTATGTCGCTATTATGAAAAAATATGTTGCTATTGTGAAACTAACATGGTACTATATTTATATTTTTATGAAATTAAAGTGTTATATATATTTTTTGTTATTTAATTATGTAAATCCGTGGTCCTAAATCGATCAAATCCGTATTTAAATGGATTGGTTCGGATTGGTTCCACGATCTAAACAGATTGGATTGGTTTCAATTTTTTGAAAATCATAGATAACTGATTGATTTTGGTTTTACCTCAATCTGGTCCAATCCGGACCATGCTCACCCCTTAGTAGTTGTTAGATATGATGTACTGTGTACTAAGCATTTCCTTTTCAAAATTTATCCAATTCTTTTAGAATAAATTACAAACACACCTCTAAAGTTTATTTAAATTACAAATTATCTCTTGTGATTTTAGAAATTATATTATACTCTTTAAGGTTTTTAATTTTATAATAAATATGTCTTTTTATTAATAAATTATCAAATTAATTAACAGTTTTTAATAATGTTAAAATTTTATTTCAATTAACAATTTATATAATTTTATTATTGTATAGGTGAACAGTTAAAAATTTTACTTTTTCAATTAATTCTGTTAAATACAAAATTCTAACAGGGTGGTATTTGTAATTTTTCAAATCACAAGGAATAATTCATATTTTAAGCAAATTTTGGAGGTGTTGAGTGTTTGTAATTTGTATAATGGATAGGGTCATAATTTTAAAAAAAATAATGCCATTACATATATTGGTTTACTAATTAATATATTAATTAGTACGTGTAGTGCCATCGTTTGCAATTAAGGCCAAGTTTGGGAAGACTAAATAAGTACACTTTTTGTCTTTTTAGACTAAAAAATTGAGGTTGAAAATATGGATGTTTGGGTTAACTTTTTGACTTTTTATTGAAAAATGTGTAATAAAAAATTGTAAAAATTGATTTGTATGGAAAAATTTGAATTGGGAGTTGTGCAGCCGTAATTGTTGACTTTTTGTGAATAGTGTTAACTTTTTAACTTTTTGAGTAACTTTTTGACTTTTTGACTTTTTTGGGAGTGCCCAAACTTAGCCTAAATCTTTTTACGTAATTGTTTTCTTGCGATTATTCTAAAGAGGTTTTTGAATCTTCAAGGCAAAGCAGAATCATTACAATTGCTTGATCTTTGATCATTTGGTAAATACTTAGCTGCTCATCGATAGGGTATTAGAAATTTACCAATAATATCAAAAATAAATTTGATATAAAGATTTATTTTTTGTATTTTAAAACTAAATATTTTTTTACAACTAGAGGAGGTGGATCTTAAAGGTCACCCACGAGAAACTTAAGAGCTTGCACCAGAGAAAGTACTCCAGGAGGAAGTTAGTACGTCACATCAAGTTACATTTTTTATTTTTAATAATTTATTGAGCAATTTTTTCAAAAGAAAATGTTTGAGGGTCACAATTTTTGTGGCCACAATAGCTCAAAACTGTCAAAACACCAAAACGATCGTTTTGACAGTTTTGAGCCATTGTGGCCACAAAAATTGTGGCCATCTAGCATTGTTGTTTTTCAAATTGCGTACCACCCTTTCTCATGAAAATACATAAATAAGTAACATTGAAAAACTAGAAGCTCAAAAAAAATTACATGGCACACGCCTGAAGATCATAGAATTGCAATCACCTTGCTTGGTTTCTAGTTTTGCAAAATACTTTTTAGAAAATTTTACTTTCTTATTTTCGGTATTTTTTTGTTTTTACTGAATTTTTTTAATATTTTAAGTAATTTTTTTACTTTTTAGACACACAAAACATAAATACACCTAAAAAGTAAAAAAACTGTAAAAAAAACTTTTAAAAATTCACTAAATATCAAAAATACAAAAAAAATATAAGAATTCAGTACATTTTTTGTATTTTTATGTATTTATTAATTTTTTAAAATATTTTTTCACAAATTTTTTATTTTTTAGATACATCTAAGTAAGGTGCATCTAAAAAAGAAAAAAAAATCAATTTTCAAAAAACTTAATTCAAAAAACTCAAACCAAACATAAGGAATCAGACTAATGTGAGACTTTTAAAATAGAGACACATCAATCAAACAGAAAGCTCATGCAATTGTTTTTCGAATCTGTCTATATTGTCAGTCATGAAGCCTTGGCTTGTTAGGGTTTCTTTCCACTTGAGATGATTTTTCTTTACCAATTTGCCCATCTCGTTATCTTTATCCATTACGGAGCAAATAGACTCGCACAAACTCTCTTTCAAAAACCAACCATTTTCATCTCTTGCTACCTCCACAGCTACCTTCAATTCCTCAGCCATTAACCTAGTGTTGAGGATTTGATCACATAGATGTGGTACAAGCACTATTTGAGCATTGCTCAATAGAGACTCCCACATCGATCCAAATCCGCAGTGATTCACAAAACACCCAACAGATGGGTGACCTAATATTTGTGGATGTTGCACCCATCCTCCATAAACCACTCCTCTCCCTCCAAGCCTCTCTTTAAACCCCTTCGGCAACGCTTCTTCCACCGTCGCCGCTCCTGCAGGCGGTTTTAAGGCTACTAAAAATGGTAGCCCCGTTAACTCAAACCCTAGAACAAGTTCTTGGAATTGGTCCTTTTCAAGGATCAATTGGCTTCCAAATGCACAGAACACAACGGAGTTGCGCTCGAACCCCTCCAGCCACCTCGCCCACCGGTCTTCAAGCGGCCTTTCCATTTTCATCACTTCATGCAGGACAGGTCCTGTTAGAAACACAGGTTTTCCATACTGGCTTCCTATGTAGTCACAAAATTGTCCCTCAATTTGTTGGCATGTTCTAATAGAGATTGCATCGCATTCTTTCATGGAGGTTGTGAAACGACCATGGAGCGTTATTCAACGGCCAAATTCAAATGATATGACAGGCGGTGCTAGAGCTTCGTGTCTGCGTAACACCACGGTGGAAGATGGGTAGCCTGGTGGTGGCTTTGCCATTTCGGCCTCCATTAGTGTCATGTCCTCGAAAACTTTACGTGCAGGGACTAGTTGGATTGCCACCGTCACTGCAGAAGCAGCACTCTAGAACACGATCTTCATGAAGCCAATCTTTGATGCTAGTTCTGGTATCCAATGGGCGGTGTCAAAGAGAACAAAATTAGGTTTCACTTTGCGTAGCAATGTTTCCACCTGATCGCGAGTATAAGAAATAGATGTATTATTAATTGATGTATTGTTGTTACAAGATTTGTTGTATATATTTTGTATATTACAAGCTATTATATAGGAGAGGATTTGGGAGTAGGTGAGGTAGGTGAGTGGTGGTAGTGGATGGTAGTGGAGGTGGTGGGTGGTAGTGGAGATGGTAGGTGGAGTTGGTAGTGGGGTAATTTACACAATTTACAATTTACATTAACAGCCCCCCTCAAACTCAAGGAGGATAGGAACTAACCAACTTGAGTTTGAAGAGAGTAACAAAACAGAAAAATAAACTGATAAATAAAATAAAACAGGATAGGAGACACGGTATGGTCGTGTCAGACCGTTGTAGAAGACACGGTATGGTCGTGTCGGACCGTTGTAGCAGACAGTTTACGGGGTCATGTCGGACCGATGTAGCAGACACTGTGTGGTTGTGTCAGACCGTTGTAGAAGACAGTTTATGGGGTCATGTCAGACCGTTGTAGCAGCTGACCGGAATCAATGTCGGGACATTTTATGGGGTCATGTCGGACCGTTGTAGACAGTTTATGGGGTTATGTCGGACCGATGTAGCAGCTGACCGGAATCAATGTCGGGACAGTTTATGGGGTCATGTCGGACCGTTGTAGCAGACATTGTGTGTCGTGTCAGACCGGCTGCCCAAAAGATATACATGGATGTAGATATCGAGCCCTCAAAAGTCGTGCCCTCAAAAGGTGTGCCCAATCTTTCAAAAGGCGTGCCATCAAAAGGCGTGCCCATGTTTTCAAAAGGCGTGCCATCAAAAGGCGTGCCCATGTTTTCAAAAGGCGTGCCATCAAAAGGCGTGCCCATGTTTTCAAAAGGCGTGCCATCAAAAGGCGTGCCCATGTTTTCAAAAGGCGTGCCATCAAAAGGCGTGCCCATGTTTTCAAAAGGCGTGCCATCAAAAGGCGTGCCCATGTTTTCAAAAGGCGTGCCATCAAAAGGCGTGCCCATGTTTTCAAAAGGCGTGCCATCAAAAGGCGTGCCCATGTTTTCAAAAGGCGTGCCATCAAAAGGCGTGCCCATGTTTTCAAAAGGCGTGCCATCAAAAGGCGTGCCCATGTTTTCAAAAGGCGTGCCATCAAAAGGCGTGCCCATGTTTTCAAAAGGCGTGCCATCAAAAGGCGTGCCCATGTTTTCAAAAGGCGTGCCATCAAAAGGCGTGCCCATGTTTTCAAAAGGCGTGCCATCAAAAGGCGTGCCCATGTTTTCAAAAGGCGTGCCATCAAAAGGCGTGCCCATGTTTTCAAAAGGCGTGCCATCAAAAGGCGTGCCCATGTTTTCAAAAGGCGTGCCATCAAAAGGCGTGCCCATGTTTTCAAAAGGCGTGCCATCAAAAGGCGTGCCCATGTTTTCAAAAGGCGTGCCATCAAAAGGCGTGCCCATGTTTTCAAAAGGCGTGCCATCAAAAGGCGTGCCCATGTTTTCAAAAGGCGTGCCATCAAAAGGCGTGCCCATGTTTTCAAAAGGCGTGCCATCAAAAGGCGTGCCCATGTTTTCAAAAGGCGTGCCATCAAAAGGCGTGCCCATGTTTTCAAAAGGCGTGCCATCAAAAGGCGTGCCCATGTTTTCAAAAGGCGTGCCATCAAAAGGCGTGCCCATGTTTTCAAAAGGCGTGCCATCAAAAGGCGTGCCCGATGCATGGCGATGCACG